TGACTGCAGGGATTCATCTTCTTGGTTCTTTCGGTAAAGTCACGTAGAAGGGAAATAATAAAATAATAAAAATAAATCATAATAATATTTATTTATTATGTTTTTTTTTTCCCCGTCTACGTGACTTTACTGAAAGAACCAAGAAGATAATGTCATGCTTTTACAAATGACGAAAATTTGGGCAAATGCTCACTTGTGTTGCATTTTTTATGAATAACATGCACAAAATATTACTGTACTGCAGTAATTTCAAAATATCGTTCACCTAATTTTCATTTTAAAAAACATTATATTGTTTCTAAGATTTGCTTATTGATAACTTGTAAATTAAAACAGAGTGCAACATGTGCATTTGAACAAATGCTTAAAACATAAAATCTGTTTTTTTTATCCTAAATGTACTCCAAGTAAATGTACTCCAAGTACATTTGCCAAGAACTCTGCCAGTTTTTTGTTGTTGCAGGAAATCAGCTCTGAGTTATGTATTTTCAAGATGGAGACAACTATTCTGGTTCAGTATTGCCAAAATAACATTTAAGCCAGTTTTTCTTCAAAATAAATCTGCATGCAATAGATGCAGACTACTCATTTCTTCAGCTTGCTTTTAAATGTTTATGGTATGAACTTTTACATGGTATGAAATGTGATACAGTATATCACATTTGATACCAAAATGAAACCACTCAAGAGGTTAATGGGTATTTTGCATGCGTATTGTAAGTTCACATTCAGCGATATAATTATTTTTAATCGTTATCGGATGGTTTGCAGTTTTTCACATTATTAAAAGTATAATTTTTTACATTTCTCTTTATGTTTTTTCTTCAACGCTGTACTGTATTTAAATCATATGTAGGCAAGCCCTGTCTTTCATTGCATCATGATGGAACTATTGTGTAGCGTGTACACGTTTTACTTGCATATGTGTAGCATACTTAAACGAGTTATGGTGCACGGTAGTAGACATTGCAGTAAACAAAGAATGAGCACTGCTTCACAAATGCTATAAAGCACTTGGAATTTCTGATATATTATCCAAGACAATTTAATTATATGTACGGTATAACCATTTTTGCATTTATAGACCACGGGGCTTACGTTCTCACTCAACATTTTCTGAAACGCCGCTATGCTGGCTTGTAGTAGGGATTACAGTATAGGCATCAGGCTCTGTCACTAGTACAAAATATGCCTATCCATCGTAGTCGTATATTGTTGTGCCCTATATGTATTATAGTTCTACGAACATGTTTATAAAAATGAAATGGTTGTGGCTCTAATTCGTGGAACTGCATTCTGAACTGGCCCAACTGAATTTTGTATAGACCATTGCTTAAATAATGTACCACATATATCTTATAAGATCTCCCACTGGTAATACATGGACATTCCTTTGCCAATCAACTGCTGGATGTGGGTCTCCCAAATCACATGCACGTCTTGGATGTTGTTTGACGATACTTCACCATGCTAGTCAGACAGGTCAGTGAATGTTTGGGAAGCATTCGTGCAGGAGCATTAAAGTACAGTACAACAATGTATTTCTCTGCACTGTCCACCAGGTAGCCCCACAACCTATAACACCTGTGACGCATTGTGGTTTCCTGTCCAAGCATTATCTAGGCTCAAACCCTGCGTAGTGTCTGAGATTCGACAAGATTGGGTGCATTCCGTGTGATTCGTTTAAAGGCAGGTGATAGTTCTAGATTTGAAGCTTTCGTGACTGCAATGATTCATATTCTTAGGTTTTTTTCGGTAAAGTCACGTAGGTAAAAACATTAAAAAGTAAAATAAAATAAAAATCACGACGTTTCGGAGGCAACACAAGCTTCCGTCTTCAGGTGGTACCGTCACAACCACGACAGCTGTATCGAGTAATCTCTCATTTACTTGATACAGCTGTATCAAGTAATCTCTCATTTACTTGATACAGCTGTATCAAGCAATCTCTCATTTACTTGATACAGCTGTATCAAGCAATCTCTCATTTACTTGATACAGCTGTCGTGGCTGTGACGGTACCACCTGAAGACGGAAGCTTGTGTTGCCTCCGAAACGTCGTGATTTTTATTTTATTTTACTTTTTAATGTTTTTACCTACGTGACTTTACCGAAAAAACCTAAGAATAGGCAGGTGATAGTTGGATCTAAACAAGGTTATTCCTCCCCACCCCACGAGCATGTATTCCTGTATGCTAAACATTACCATCAAAGCATAACATTGCTGCACGCGTGAGATAGACATTGGTCAGATATGTACTTGAAAAACATTGCCCCACAATGGAACTGGCCTCCCAAATAAGTCTTGTAATTGCTGACATTATGGTGTATACTCAGGGTGTTGATATGTGGAACTCTTTCAGGAGCTGTCAATGAGTGCTGTGTGATGAGGTCACGCGATACGCGTGATAACAGTAGCAGGTCAATGAAGTGAGTGTTTGCGCACTGTACGTGCGTGTGTGGCCACACAAATTGGAGCAATATCACTGACGTTTCACGGAGCTCGGGTTTTCTACTTTTACCATATGAATCGCATCAGTGCTGCCCACTCAAAATAAAAAAAGCGTAATTTGCTTTCAGAGAAATTTAACAGTTGCAAAATCGTGAACTTTAAATGTTAAATTACGAAAATGGAAACCGCAATTAAATGAAAATATTGAGTTAAACATTGGCGTTCAGGAATTGCATTTCTTTTAAGCGTGTGAATAATATATTTATCAACAAAAACGTATTTATTTCAGTCCATTTATGGAAGGATGTGTGGCTCGCATGAAGTGATGTCATTCACGTGACTCATTTGGATAGCCATCAAACTTGTTTTTGAAAACGTGTTTTTGAAAACAATGTGCCATCAGATCGCTTCTTATGTTAACACTCCCTTATTAAAGCCAAACAGCCACCTATGGTACCAATTAAATAATTGGATCTAGTAATTCCAACCATCTTACATATCGTGAATTACCATGCTGTTTTTACACATCTTACAAGTAACACACTCAAACGGTGTAAGAAGCAATGGAATCTATGTTTATTAATGTGGACTTTTGACAGTAAAAGCACGGTCAACTACTTTGTAACGCACACTACATTTCGACTAAAACATCCACTTGTTACATCTGTGGGTTTTACAATGGTGTATTTTAATTAGCGATGTATGCATGCTTAAATGTTTGTCGAAGCTGTGCTGCATAAACTAAAATATTCTACCTCTTTGTATCCGAGGCCCTTTGGCAATTAATTGTCCTGAAGTGGCAATATTGAACCGTGTGATCAATAATGCCACTGTCGGGGAGATTCAATGTTTTTTTTAAATAAACATCCCTGAATCCACCTGGACTCTTGCGTCCCGATGAAAGATGGAATGGGTCTGTCAATGTCTATTATAATTGGTGGGCCTGGTGGGTGTTTATAAATTATTAATGAATGTCACGCAATTGCTTTGAAGCCCCCACCGCCCACCCCCCCACAGATTGACGCAGTCGAGTCGGAGACACACGGTCTGGAAAGAAGAACCGTCTGGCCTTATTTTAAGAATGTTCTAAGCACAGATATGGTTATATTGTGGGTGTGCATGTGAATGAAAGCTGATAAACAGTTTGAGCTCATTATTTTATATTGCAAATGCAGGTGTCTTCCATGTGAATGGGTTTTTTTTTATTTTACCCCTTATACAACCACAGACAATTTATTGAAGCGAAAAGACGACACGCATGAATTGGTTTGCTCGGTATTTTCTCTACAGTACTTTCATAAGTGTCTTACCCCCATAAATGATGAGTAAAGCAGTTCGTCACTTGACACAATTTTGAGACTCGTTTAATAATGTTCGCTGCAGTTACAGTGATTATGAAGAGGCTGCATAGTTTTGTGATTGCCGATTGTTCCGGCAGTTTGTTAGAACTGAGATCTAGCAGAGCTTCTAAAGCCTGGTTTCTGTATAATAATTCCAGTGATGCCTTCTGCACCCATGTGTTTTCAATTGTCTCTGCCCACAAGTCCAAAAGACAGCTATACTAGAATCTGAGGCATTGTGTTCAAAATGCATGCCAGAAACTTATTTAAAAACGTATATATAAAAAAAACTACAATCAAAACAACGTCAAATTACAATTCCATGAACAAAACAAATCCAACATTTTATTTCATATTTGGCTATTTTCTACATGACCAACGTGTTCTATTTGGAGAAGCGGCAATGTGTAGGGGTGGAACGTTGCATCAGTTAATAGATTAATATCGATGATTAAGCTCACGATACATGCGCACAAAATACTCCCGATATTTTTCAATCAAAATTTGCCGCAGCCACTGGAGGTGCTACCATTCACCACGATGTTGAAAAAAGTTATAGATTCATATCATGACCCTGATGGTTGAATTGTTCCACACATCGTAATGACTTACCACATTCCAAGTGTCATTCTCCTGAAGAACGTGTGCAAAGAATGCAAAATAAATAATTTTTACTGGAATTTTATTGCAATTGGTATAGGCAATGAAGCGTGTCTTCCCTAAAAGTACTCGTGCTATGATACTTGCCATTCCGCGTGTTATATGCATTGGCTCTTGTGTCCACCGGTATATCACCTATTCGTTTCACACTTTCAGTCAACGATTCGAGAAATGTTTACTTTATTTAGAGACTAGCTCTGCTCACCATACGCATTTGTTTTGTTCCATGTGCAACAAAAAGAAGAGAATTGGGCAAACCTCCAAAGCAGGACCATCCCGAAAGTCCTGATTTAATTCAGATATTTGTGGGTATAGGAATATCATCATTATTATTGTTATTGCATATGCACATCTAGCGAGGGCATATATGATGCTGTTGGCTCCCATAATTCCTTGAATATGACTTCTGTCCAGGCTTAATGAATACGTTTATCCAGTGAGATGGGGATCTCTTATCATCTCTCATTGACTGGAGAGAATTGTGGTTTTCCTGAACATCTTCTTGTAAAGCCTGCTTGACCCACAACACTGTGTGATCTGCCTTTCAGACCTCAGTGACCATCTGCTGGAGGTGGTTGGGCTGGATGGAGCTATGGAAATGGGCCAGATCTACACGGGGCTGAAGAGTGCAGGTTCCCGCTTGGCCCAGTGTTCCTCCGTGACCATCAGGTAGGCACTGTTCTTTAATGGACAATTTAACAATGTCCTTTGTTTTTAACTGTGCGTACCTTGTATACTTATTAGTGTGGTGGTCAAATGACCCCCGTGACCTGCATGGCAGGGGGATCACCCTCATCTAGCAGTGGATTGACAAAGGGCTGTGCGTGAAGATTATATATATTTTCTCTGGCATGGTTTGTTCAATATATATGAATATAATGTCATCGTAATAATGTGACACAGCTCAGTATATTTGGGAGAATGGGACCCTCTGAGTTATATTTGGAACTCTTAAAATACTAGACGAAGAGTGTTGGCGCAGTGGTGAGTACACCGCGCCATGAACCCAGACATGGCTAACAACATTGGTGAGTGACATGTGAACCATGCCTGCTGCTACCCACCCATCACCCCACCCTTCACCAACCTGCATTGAACATGATATATAATGGTCAAACAACTTAGTTGCAAACGTGGTCTAAGGAGGCCTTCATCCAGAAGTATATTTACAGGCTGTAAGTTGTTTATTTTGCTGTTTCAGCATTAATTTTCACATGAGCT